AGGGAATGGATGAAGATGAGGAGCAGCAAGTGGAATTGTCAGAGAACCGTACTCTCTCACAATTGTTTGCCAGCATGATGACTGCTGCTGGGCAGGTGGCTGCAAGAAGCATTCAGCGTGGTAGATATTGCAAGGAAATAATCATATATGGAGTTATCTGTAATTTTGAATCAAATGAAGCTTCATTATGTAAATTGATCTTGAACTTCGAACGTGGAGACTCAAAAATAATTAAGTATATGGATGAAATACACATAGATCAACCACAATTCAGTAGTATTGATAGAATGATTTTATATGCTGTGAATGAGTTATTTAATCATTGATTATTGTAACAAATAGTTCTCACATGATTTTTTGCTTTTATTATTTATGGTCAAGTTGATCAATACACATCAACTGTATACGCACTAATAAAAGAATAATTTCAGAGGAAATAGAATTAGAAAAAGAATCAACTTGCCGCAGCCAATCACCCTTGTATAGAAAGGTGAATCTAATGCATACATTTCCCTTGTAAAAATGCATACACGACTATACAGGCTGTTAACTAGCTATGTCCCCCTAATGTTAAGTATATGAGACTTAACCAGTGTTTATCATTAACAAACGTCAAGAGACAGATGCATGGTTCAGAGAAAGAAGATGGACGACAATCATAATAGCTTGTGTCCTCTTTTCCAATGTGCATGCGCCAAAGAGATCAGAAGATGCCAATCGTTTTTGTATTTCCTTGGAAAAAGTCCATTGATTGCTGTAATTTGAATTAGAGCTAGGGTATACTAATTCACTACTTATACTAATACTAATAATACTTATACTTATACTATCATTGTTATGACTTTATATCATTTATGAGAGACAGCATTGAATAGACATGCTGAAGGAATATCAACTATCCTGATGACAAGTGAAATTAATACTAGTCTTAACAGAAGTCCTTGTTCAAGAAGTTGTGAGCTGAGAGTGTCCATCTTCCCTGCAATGTTGGAACTATTCCTGTTCTTCCAGGCTGTTTTCAAGTTTATATTATCATTGCATATCGTAACATTAATTAATGTTTGTTTTTTAAAATAAAATAAAATCACACACTTGATAAAACAGTAACATGCATGTAAGATTAATACCTTCTTTTAGCTGGAAATCACCACTAAAGTATTGCAGTAAGTTGATTCCAAGCATAGCTTGGTAAAAAATAACTTGCTTCTTCCAGAGCTGCAGATCTGAGCATGGCGCGACCACACCGAAATTTTGGAGCACATGCTTCCTTAATCATAGATATTATAGACTTAAGGCCTCCATACACTAGGCAACATGTTGCTAGCAACTTCTGTGGTTACTTTGATCTTGTAATCATTTTGTTCCAAAAATAGAACAGAATTCTATTCTTAGACACAAGATCAAAGTGACCACAGAAGTTGCCAGCAACATGTTGCCTAGTGTATGGGGGGCTTAAGTAACCTATAGACCTCTTTGGGTGAGAATGAATTACGTCAACAAATGATATACGGCAAGGGGCGTGCCTGGCTGACTCTGAAATAATTTTCGTGGACGGCAACTTTCTATGGAGTATGAATGGGCTAATGCAGAAAGCAAGCTCTATTAAAGAATATGCTTCATATTGCACCAAATCCCTTTTAGGAGATGCTTAGCAGCGACCATTCTTTCCTCCAACCAGCTTTTGTAGCTTGAAAAAGCTCCATGCCAACGAAAAGAATCAGCGGCGGATCTAGGATTGAATTTTTGGGGGGCCATAATTATATGGGTGGGGTAATTAGTGGGTGTGGTCAACTAGGCCTGCAGCATTTCATTTGGGAAGTCAAAATTTTGAAGATTAGGCCTCTTAAATGAGCTCCTTTGTGGTTTACAGACTGTTTACACAGTGAAGTACTGCAGCTGTTTCACAGTTTACATAGATAAAACTAATTTTATACTTGACCAGAAAAATTTTGGGGGGGGCCTGGCCCCCCAGGCCCTATGGGGAGCCAAAAGGGACAAAAAGCCAAAATTTGAAGCCTAGCCTCCTACTTCCAAAATTAAAGTGATGTTTAGTAAATTGGAGTCTGATATAATAAATTGGAGTCTGATATAGTAAATTGCAAGCCTATTTAGTAAATTTGATTCCTATTAAATAAATTAAATCTCATATAATAAATTTGAGTTTTATATATACTATATCCCAACTGAGTTTGACCCAAGAAAAACTGGAATAACTTTTTATAGGAATGTGGGATAAGGGTGAGACTTTTACAGGTTCTTAGTCGCCCAATGCCATCACAGGATCTCAGGTATTGGGTCTCTCAGCCCTTGGGAACCCTGAGAACCGGGTCCTCCCTATAAACCCAATGGCATACCAAAATGACGTTTTATGACAATTTATCTACGTCATAGTTTACATAAGAACATGTGGTCGAGCACCCAAACTGATAATTCTTACTTTTAAAAGCTAACAGAGCAAGATTTTCTGATAATGATGGCCTTTATGAAGACTAGTTGACTCCAGCAGCTATTGTACTGCTTATCAGAACAAACAAAACCTTTTTAAGAGTGCAATACAGGCCAACTACACAGCTGTAAAATGTCGGCCATGCTTCTATGAAATCATTATAAGACGTCATCAGTGACGTATCAGTCTACACGATAACGGTACATTTCACTGGACAAGATTTTTTAGGACTTCCTTTATCAGTTAATGATATTCACAACCATTATGTCTTATGAATATAATTAAAGTGCCCATGAATATAATTAATCATTTAAATTTCAAATGCACATGGCTCAATAAACTGATAATTAGGTGATATTTGGCTGAACCACCTATTTTTGGGGGGCATTTTCTCAAAAGTTACTTGGCCCATGACTTCAAGTATTGCACAGTGTATTAAGCAAGTGTTCTGAAGTTACCAGACCCTTTCTGGAGTATGTAAGTGGTCTGTGACTGATTTGTACAGAAATCAAAGTTGGCCCACAGCTAAAAGTTGCCAAAATTGCCGTGTAACTAACAATGAAACAAGAAGCAAGAAAAGTTGATAGGATCCTTGTTTTTGGCCTGGAACACAATGATACTTCCTTCTAGTGTTTTATCTCAAGGTTTTAAGAATTCCTTTCTTCTACATGTTGTCCAGAGCTGCCAAATAGTGCGCATATTTCACCCGTTCTAGTCTTTATGACCAAAACTCAAGCGCTTTAGCAAACAAGTAACATAATCTGTAGTACTCATGTTTGTTAGCAATCCTGAGGAGATATAACCTTGCAGACAAGCTGTGACTGATTTGTACAAAAATCAAAGTTGGAAATTTTTGAAAAGATGGAGCAACAGGACACAGTATATCTTTCTCTTTTCTGGAGTTGATTGTACAAGACTATTTTTATTATTAAAAGCAATGTATATTCTATTATTTTTTGCTGGTAATAATAGTGTATAAGTATCTTTGGCTGTCCTAGAAATGTTTAAAGGCAGCATACTTCAGCCATGTTCATTTTCAATGGGGAATCCATACAACGCCCACACTTCCTGTGTCCAGTAAAATGTACCGTTATCGTGTAGACTGTATCCTACATTTTTCAAATTCCAAGCGGCTGGTGTCAAACTCAGTTGGGATATAGTATAGTTAATTAGAGTCTGTATTGTAAATTGGATTCCTATATAGCAAATTGAAGTCCAATATAATATATTTGACTCCTATATAATAAATTGGAGTCTGATATAGTAAATTAGAATTCAATATAATAAATTGGAATCTTACATATTAAATTAGAGTCTGATCAGCATAGTATAGTCAATTGGACTCCTATATAGCAAATTGAAGTCTGATATACTATATTGGATTCCTATATAATAAATTAGAGTCTGATATAGTAAATTGGACTCCTATATAGCAAATTAAAGTTCGATATAATATATTGGACTCCGATATAGTAAATTAGAATCTGATATAGTAAATTTGACTCCTATATAGTAAATTGGAGTCCAATATAATAAAATTGAACCCCTATATCACAAATTCAAGTTCAATATAATAAATTAGAATTTTACATAGTAAATAGAAACTGATATGGTAAATTAGAATTCAATATAATATACTGGACTCCTCATAGCAAATTTGAGTTTGATATGATAAATTTGAGTGTTATATAACAAATTGGACTCCAATAAAAGAAATTGGAATCCCATAATTAGAGTCTGATATCATAACTTGAAATCTGATGTTAAATTCTTAATGGGAGTTGTGACTTTGTTATCACTTACAGTTAATTTTTAATACGCTGTATAATTATTATTGTTTGTTATTAATGAAGAATTGATCACTCATAGTCATAAAGTTTTAGAGTCCCTAGTCATGTCTGTTGCATCAGATGGAAAATTACTTGTGCGGCATCTTTATAAAGCTGTACATTTTTTATATTTTTAAGAGATCTTACTGCTGATAATGTTCACAATGCCCTAGCATTGCCTATAATGAGCAATTGTTTGTTGCACAGGAGAGCTCTATTTTAAGTTATTTGAGGAGATGTATTGCATGATGAATGTGATTTAGAAGGCATTTGGATATAACCAATTCCATGGTTTTTACCCATTTTTTCACTCTACTTTATATTCTAGGTTTGATGGAATTTGTATTTTCATTAGTATTACGGGCAAGATCTCAGTCATGCCGAACTCAATAAAGATTAAGTTTACAACTGATAGCATGGGAACTATATCTACACATCTACACACCTTTGTTCAGGAGAAATAATTTTTCCACAACACTTCATAGGAGACTATGAAATGTTTTGCTTAGCTCTGAAATTGGTTCTTACTCCATGGTATAATTTCTTCTCATAATGACATTGTCTGACTTTAACACTATATACTTAATCACTTGAGTTGCTTGTTATTCATAATTATTAATGATGAGTGGGTGGCAATTTTAGATTCTTTAATAACTAGGCTAATCCTCCAAGTTATTAATATTGGATTTTTATTATATTGGACTCCATTTAATTATATAAAAGTCCACTTCATTGTATTTGATTCCATTATATCAGACTCCAGGTTGTGATATAGGAGTCCAATATATTATATCGGACTTCAATTTGCTATTTCGGAGTCCAATATATTATATCATACTTTAATTTGCTATATAGGAGTCCAATTTACTATATCAAACTCTAAT